TCCCCGGCTTTTCAGGGGCACGCAGCACTTCTGCGTGCCCTCCCGAGGAGCCATGGGCAGAGGCAGCCGTCAAAAGACCGGTCCGGATTTTATTAAAAGTTCAGCACCAGTACATTTAAAATACAAAACGAACAAACAAAAAAAGCGAGAAGACGGGAAGTATTAAATTAACGGAGCTTAAAGCTATGGAGGGCTGGTGTGGAGAGAGTTGAAGGCACGTGTGGAGCAGAGGCGGTGACGGATGCTCCGGCAGAGGGATGCCGTGCCCGGGAGCACCGCTCAGCACCGAGCCGTGGGCTCCGGGGGGGAGAGGGGTCTCTGGACCTGCCGGTGGGGGTGGGCTGCTGCCAGCACAAGAGCAGGAGCCCCGACTGAGCTCTGAGGATGTGCAGAACCACCACCGTGCCCAGAACCCACAAGGCAACACAACAGTTTGGTGCCGGCCCCCTGGTCTGTGGCGCCTGGGGAGGGGTGAAGGGGTGCAGCAAATCCCGGTGCCGCTACCGGGCACCGCTGCCAGGGCTCCAGGGGCATCGGGGCCGGGGGGCTCAGGGGGCACCGGACAGGTGGTGTCACTGTGTTATGGCTGCTCCTCTGATAGGAATTAGGGCAGCGACGTCCCAGTGGAAGGGGCAGTCCTGCTGGGAGCACTGGGCAGGATCGACCCTTCTCGGTGAACCTGTGTTCCCGTGCAGCATGGAGCAAGAGCCTGGAGTCCCCAGGATGGCATCACAGCCATTCTGCTCTGTCAGGGCCAGGATCCCCCCCTCCTGGCGCATCAGAGGTTCTCTGTAAACACAGGGGAAGGTGGCACCACGAGGCAGCAGCCCCCCCCCAACTTCACATCACAGCACCCAGCCCCAGCGTCAGGAACCTTCATCAGCTTTGTCCCCCTTGGTGTTGGGCTCCTGCCACCACTCTGCAAAGAAGCCCTCCTCGTAGTCCCCTTCGCCCTCAAACTCGCCGTCTGAGGGCAGATCCTGCAGGTCCGGCTCCTCACCATCATCCACCTCCATCTGCAGCACAGGGTGGGAGGAGGAAGCAGTGCAGTGACCACAGTGGTTCTTCCTGCGGGGCTGCTCAGGGATGGACCCCCACACCACACCCACGGGGAGGGGTCCTGCTTTGGGGTACCCACAGCCCCCAACCGCAAGGGACCCCGAAAAGCAGCTGTCGAAAGTGGTCATCACCCACCTCATCGTCAGCCTGCAGGAACTGCCTGGCAAACTCCAGCATCTTCTTCTGTGCAGCCGTCCTGTTGTAGTAGCGCACGGCTTCCTGGGAACAGGGGGTGGGGAGCACATCAGCCCCACATCAACTGAGCCCCAGGGCAGGGGCTGGGGGGGCTCTCACCGGCCGGGGCTCAAAGTCCTCCTCCTGCAGGTGCCAGCGCTCGCGGTGGAAGCGATAATAAACCAAGTTCTGCTGCATCACCGCATCATCCGGGTCGAAGAGCATGTAGCTGGAGACGCTGCGCACCGCATCCCTCACATCATTCACTGCAGGGAGCAGAGTGTGACACGGAGGTGACACCCTGCCCTGGGACACCCCAGGGGCTCAGCCCCCAACTCCCAGCCCACACTCACACTTGTAGTAGGCAAACTGCAGGTAGTGGTACATGGTGGCCACAAACTTCTCCACAAAGTAGCCGCCTACGTTGGGGGTCAGCTCGCTCTCGCAGCCCACCTTGCAGCGCAGAACGCTCACAAAGTGGTCTGGGGACAAGATAATGTCAGGCATTGCCCCACTTTGCCACCCCCCCCCCCCCCCACCCTCTGCCCACCCACCTGCGATGGCCGGGTAGAAGTCCTTGAACTCCTGCAGCTCATAGGCGCCCTCGCAGCCAGCCAGGCAGTCCTCGTACGCCTTGTAGTACTCAGCCAGCGCCTGCTCCATGTCAGCCGCGCTGCTCCGGAAATCCCCGTTGTTGTAGAGCTTCACCGAGCGCACGAAGATCGGCTGTGGAGACCAAGAGGGCTCTGCTCACCTCCCCGCTGGGTTCCAGGCCCCGTGCCCAGCCCACAGCAGATGGCTCAGCTCTCAGAGCTGCCCTGTGCTTGCCGGACACAGCTCCATCCCTGGCACCGGCCCCAGAGATGCTTTTTGGGGCAGGAAGGGGCTCTGCTGGAAGGGCTTTTGGGATTTGGGATGGGCTCTGCTGGGCACACACTGGCCCTTGTGGGATGCTCCTCTTCCTTCTCTTCTCCCACCCAAGCCCATCCCCTCCTTACCTCATAGGGCTGAGCCTCCAGGTCCACGAGGTATTCGTCCACGTCCACCATCGTCCTGTAGTAGTTCAGGTACTTCAGGGTCATCTCGTGCTTGGGGTTCTTCTGCAGGAAGGTGTGAGCAGCCGACACCGCCTTCTCGATCTTATTGGACTGCGGAGAGAGGGGGGCGGTGCGTGGGGCCGCAGGGGCGACGCTGGGATGCGTCCCAGGGCAGCAGGCGATCCTCGGGACGGGCAGCCCCAACGCCCACCACTCACTGGCAACGAAGGATGGGCAGCGTGCGGGCAGGGGGGGACGTCCTGCTGATGGAGCGGTGTGCGCTGAGGCACACAAAGCTCTCCCCGAGCCCACGGTGGCAGCACGGCCAGCGCAGCCCCTCTGGCAGTGACCCACGTGGCATGGGTTTGTCAGACTCTCCTCCAGCCCCACTGCCAACTCGGCAGTTGCCCCCACTCTGCTGCTGCTTCTATGAGCTCTCAGGTTGCAAATTCCGAGAAGCAAAGCTGGAGGGGCTGGATGAACCATCCCTTAAATGGATTTTAGCCAGAGCAACCGAGAGGAAAACGCATTAAGTATCCAGGTCAGGCCATTCCTCGTCGCCGCAGGATGAATGGGGCCACAGCACCAAGGAGCAAAGCAGCAGTGGTGCTGCACCCGCCCACCCAAGCTACGCTCCACCGGCTGGGACAGCCCTGTGTCCCCCTCCTCGGGCAACGTTCCACACACCCGGGGGGCCTTGGGGACAGCAGTATTGAAGCAGAGGCAGAATGTAGGCACAGCAGAGCTGGAGAAATTCCATCTGTCCCTGGAAAACTTCTCCATGTGGACCAGGGGCACCCACAGAGCTGTGCTGGGGGATGTCTGTGACCACAGAGGGTCGGGGGTCACGGGGAGACTCAGGGAACCCCCAGCAGGGGTTGTGGGAGGGGGGAGACCAGGGCACACGGGGCTGGAGAGGGCAGCCATGGGGGCCCCATCCCGGGCACGCTCCTCACATCCTGCTGCTGACGTGCAGCGGTGCCGGGGCCGGAGGGAGGAGATGGGGGGGACGGGGGTGCAAGATGGGGGGAGCAGGAGGGGAGAACACATGGCAGAGAGATGTGGGAGGGATGGGAGAAGGATCTGGGGGTGCAGAGTGGAGGTGAGGAATGGAGATGTGGGATGGGAGGACACGGTATGGGGGTGGCAATGGGGAGGTACAGGGTGGGGGGCACGGGGTGAGGGGAGCAAATGGAGGAGTGTAGAGCAGAGGAAGTCAGACAGGGGTACAGAAGACGTGGGGTGCACGATGGGGGACGCCCACACCCCCAAGTCAGGGCAGCCCCTCACTCCCCATCCCCGTCACTCCCGGCGTTGCGCGGTCTCACCTTGAATAGCGCGTAATGCAGGTATTGGTAGGGCAGCCGGCGCTGGAAATCGCGCAGCGTCTGCGCGGGCGGGTAGCGCAGCTGGAAGACGGGCAGGCCGCGCTTACAGGCACGCAGGCAGCCTGCGCGGCGCAGCAGCCGCCCGAAAAGCTGCAGCTCCCGCTCCCACTCCCACTCCGCGCGGTCCCCTTCGGCGGGGGGCTCCTCCGCGGATCCCCCCTCGGCGCAGCGGCGGTGGCAGTGCGCCTCGCTGTCTCGCAGCAGGCGGTGCAGCCGCAAACTGGCCTCCAGAGCCCGCGCGCTCTCCGCCCACTGCGCGCTCGCGTACTGCGCCAGCGCCCGTGTGTAGGCGCGCTGCAGCGGCTCCAGAGCGGCGGCGGGGAATCCGCGCACGCTGTATTGCTCGTACTGCGCCGCGCACGGCCCCGCCGCCAACAACAGAAGCGGCAGCGCCAGCGCCGCGCAGCCCATCCCCGCCGCCGCCGCGCACTGCCCGCGCAGGAGGCGAGCGGGGGCGGAGGGGGGAGGAAGGGGCGGTGCGCGTCGGGAGCGCAGGGTCTTAGTGCGGCTCTGTGCGTTGCGCGCAGGGCGGAGTTGGCACTGAGTGATGCTGACCGGCCCGGATGCGCTCGGAGTTGCGGTGTCGGGGGATCCCTCGAGTGCGCTGCGCTGCGCGCTCGGCGCTGCGCTGCTTCTTCCCCCCGCCCCCTCCGCCCGGCAGCGTTCAGCGCTGGTTTCGCCGCTGGCCGTGGTCAGCCGGAGGCGGATCCTTGCGCTGTGCCAGAGCCCAGAGCGCAGCGCCCAGGGCGCAGAGCCGAGGGCTGCGGCTGAGCTCGCAGAGCCAGGCACGGCCGCGCTGGCCACGGCCCAGCCCACGTCCGTGCGGGCGGAACGGGCAGAGGGCTCCCCCCACGGCCCCGAATGGTGTGGGGGGGTGAGGGGCAACGCGTAGGTGCGCGCTGTGTGCTGCTCCGATCCGTGACGGTCTGTTACAGGGGCGGTTGCAGGGGTTTTGATCACTGCCGTTCAGTAACAGCAGCGGACCGAGGAGCGGCCAGGGTTATCCGTACGGGCGTTAAAACGAGTTAATTACTCGTATTTACTCTTCCCAAACGCCAGAGCCTGAGCAAACCGGGTCGCAGGCAGCGCTAGGACCCGGCGCTGCACAAAGCCGCTCCCTTCGCACAAAGAACCGCCCGCAAAGAAGAGAACGGTTTTTTTAAAAGTTCCATCGCGGAGTTCCGCTGCGCCGCGGCTCTCCGCCCGGCCCATCGCAGGGAATCACCGCCCCGGGCCTGGGGCGGGGGCTGGGGGGGCCGGGCCCGTTCCACGTGTACAGAAGCGCGGCGGGGCCGGGCCGGGGGGGCTCAGCTCCCGCCTCCCCCCACCGCCGCTCCGAGTCATGGCTGCGGGCAGCGCCGCGCTCCTGCTGAGCCTCCTGGGGGCACTGGGGCTGAGCGACCCCGGCCCGCTGGAGGACGTGGTGATAGAGCGCTACTACATCCCCAAAGTCTGCCTGCGGGAGGCCCAGATGGGGGACTTCATCCGCTACCACTACAATGGGACCTTTAAAGATGGCAAAAAGTTTGACTCCAGGTACAGCCCTCGGCCCGCTCCCGCTTCACGCGGCCCCACGGGGTTTTCCCCCGTCCCCCCCCCCTCCCCGGTCCCCCTCCCCCCCCCTCCCCCATGGACACCCCGCCCGCCCCGCACGGCCCCGACTGACGGCGGTGCCCCCCGTCCCTCCTCCCCGTGCTGCGCTGTGCGCGGCCTCGCAGCGATCCGGGGGGAACCGGTCCGGGGGGAGCAGTGGGCGGGGGGGGCCGCAGAGCCGCGCTGCGTTCAGGACGTGTCCGTGCGTGCGCTGCGGGAGGAATGCGGGCAGCAGCGCTGAGACGTGGCAGCAGCAGCCGCTCCGAGGCGGTCCTCGGCCGCGCGCTGCGCCTCGGGGGTCTGTGGGGCAGCGCACCGTGGGCACCGATGTGAGCGGGATGGGGGCAGCGGTGGGGGCTTGACAAAACACGGGAACAAAAACTTCCAGCCCCTGAAAAGCAAAGGGATCCCTGTCGCGGTCCAGTCGTACTTTTCCCACAAAAAAACGGATGGGAGAGAAAGTGAAGGGAGCACGCGCTGCCCCTGCTGCTGCTGTGAGCCCCAAAGCGATGGGAGCTGCTAAAATATTGCTGCTGAAATAACTCTTTGTCCCGAGGATGGCAGCACGCTTCCAGGAGAAGCATTCACTGCACATTACAGGGGATGAAGGATTTCCATTTACCCAAAATGGCCCCCAGTTGCTTCTTAGAGCCTGTAGTTTAAAGATTTAAAAATAAAGAGAAATGTGCAGTCCACAAATGAGGCCTGGACTGCCTTCTTTCCTCCTCCCTGCAAATGTGGCCGTTTAGAATTGCCAGGAGGCAGCAGGAAGCCCTGCGTGCTGCACTGCTGTGCCAGGTGTGGGGAGCATCTGCAAGCAGCTCCCGGCCCTCCGCCCCTGGATGCCCGCACTCGGGGTGTCTCCCCCCAGGCAGTGAAGCTTCAGCCCCGCACTGAGGGCTGCAGGGCTGAGCGGGGGGCTGTGCCTGTGGCAGGAGCCCCAGACCAGGCAAAACCTCAAAGCAGGGCTGGAGGACGCCTCACTGCTTGTGAGCTGCAGCTCTGCAAGAGAGCAGAACAGGGCAGAGGCGGCTGCCCCGTGGCCGTGCAACCCCCAAGCAGCCTTGCTGTGCTTTTCTGTTGAACAAAGCTTACTTGCAAGGCCGGAAACTCCGCATAGATGCTCAGGGGGAGATGGGTGCTGCTCAGGAACCGGGGTACCCTGCAGCCCCCCTGTGCTACGTGGTGCTGACGGCTCTGTCCTTTCACAGCTACGATCGAGGGGCCACAGTGGCTGGCGTGGTGGGCGTGGGGCGGCTGATCACCGGCATGGACCGCGGGCTGCAGGGCATGTGCGTCAACGAGCGGCGGCACCTCATTGTGCCACCCCACCTGGGCTATGGCAGCATCGGCGTGGGTAAGGGCTGCGGGGCCGGGGGTCCTCAAAGCACGCGGTGGGGGGGACGGGCGATGGGCGCCCAGACAGGAGAGCTGGGGACGGATGGATCTGTGCTGGGACACTGAACAGCAAACACAGGTGGGGTCTGCGCAGGGCTTTGCAGACACACTGCACACACTGTGTCACTTTCCATGGTGGGCACGGAGGGCTCACATCTGATTCCTCTGCAAAGAAAATCTTACGGGGTGTTCGGGGCCCCCCAAATCCCAGCAGTCCCTTCCACAGACACCACAGGCAGGGCTTGGCCTCAGACCTGCACAGGTCAGGTCCCCATCCAGCGCTCCAGGCAGAAGCTGTGGGATGGGCTGTAGTGAGCAAGGACCCTCCCTGCCCCATCCAGTGGTGCCGCATGCGCTGCAGAGCTCTGTGTTCTTAGCACTGCTCGCTCCTCACCCTTTTCTGCGCTCTGTCCTCATTGCTGCTGCTGTAGCGGGGCTGATCCCCCCTGACGCCACGTTGTACTTTGACGTGGTGATGCTGGACATCTGGAACAAGGATGACAAACTGCAGATCACCACCCTGGCCAAACCTGAGCGCTGCAACCGCACGGTGGAGAACTCAGACTTTGTGCGGTATCACTACAACGGCACTCTGCTGGATGGAACCCCCTTCGACTCCAGGTGTGGGGACAGCGCTCACCACAGCGGGTGATGGGCAGGGGGGCCTGGGGGCGGCTTTGGGAGCCCACTGCTGGGCGGGGGGGCTGGCACAGCTCCAGAGCCATTCTCATCATTCCTCCACATCAGCTACAGCAAAGACAGCACCTACGATACGTATGTGGGCACTGGCTGGCTGATCAAGGGCATGGACCAGGGCCTGCTGGGCATGTGCGCCGGGGAGAAGAGGAGCATCATCATCCCACCATTCCTGGCCTATGGGGAGAAGGGCTACGGTGAGTTGGGCATCGCCCACTGCCCCTGCCTGGGTAGCGGGACCCCCGTGTGGGCTGACCCATCCCCTCCACAGGGACCGTGATCCCACCACAGGCCTCGCTGGTGTTCAGCGTGCTGCTGGTGGACTTCCACAACCCCAAGGACGGCGTCTCCCTGGAGCACCTGGAGGTGCCGGCGTCCTGCAGGCGCAGGGCTGTGACCGGAGACTTCGTGCGCTACCACTACAATGGCACGCTGATGGACGGGACGCTGTTTGACTCCAGGTGTGGGGGGGATGCTCACATTCGCCCCAAGGCCAGCAGCAGGCTGCAAGGAGAGGTTGGGGTATCCAGGGGGAATTGGGAGCGGAGGGCAGTGAGAAGTAAGAAATGGGCCAAAAAGGATTTTACCTACCTGCTGCATCCCTGGAGGAGGTTTGGTGCAGTGGGGGATGAGCGCATGGAACAGTTCTGTTACCTGACAGCACCCTGCGCTTCTCTTGCTGCAGCTACTCTCGCAACCAAACCTACAACACCTACATTGGGAAGGGCTACATCATCCCCGGCATGGACCAGGGCCTGCAGGGCGTCTGCATCGGCGAGCGCAGGCGGGTGGTGGTCCCCCCACACCTGGCCTATGGCGAGAACGGAGTGGGTAAGGGGCTGCAGGGGATCTGCGTGGCCAGGGGGAGCGCAGGGTGGGGAGGCGTTGGTTGGGAGATCTGATGGGGAGCGCCGCAGGCTGGCGGGGGGGAGTTGGGTGGGCTGGGGCAGAAAGGAGCGGAGCTGCAGGGCCTGGTGCTGCAAGCTGTGGCAGCAGCAAGAAGGGCTTTACCGGCTCTGTGTGCTTCCTGCTCAGCTCTTCCTGCTCCTCTTCCAGGGAACAAAATTCCCGGCTCCGCTGTGCTCATCTTTGATGTCCACATCATCGACTTCCACAACCCGGCCGACCCGGTGGAGATTGAGGCCGTGCACCGACCCGAGGGCTGCAACGTCACCGCCCGCGACAGGGACTTCGTCCGCTACCACTACAACTGCTCCCTGCTGGACGGCACGCGGCTCTTCTCCTCGTGCGTGGGCTGGCGGCGCTGGGCTGGAGGGCGCGGGCTCTGTGGGCTCTGTGGGCTCTGCGGGGCCGAGGTGTGGGCTGCAGCCTGATGGGACCGGGGAGTTTTCTCAGTCGTGCCGTTCTCTTTGCGCCCCTGCAGCCACGACTACGAGAAGCCCCAGGAGGTGACCCTGGGGGCCAACAAGGTGATTGAGGGTCTCAACAGCGGCCTCCTGGGCATGTGTGTGGGGGAGAGGCGGGTGCTCATCGTCCCCCCACACCTGGGTCACGGCGAGAACGGAGGTAGGGATGGCACAGCGGTGCCTACAGCTTGTGCTCAGGGCTTTCTGGAACCCCGTGGAGCTCCTGCACCTTGCTGGGGAAGCTCTCACCTCCGCACAGAGCCTTTCTGAGCTCCCCAGCAGCCCTCGCTTGCTTTTCAGCCCGAGGAGTGCCTGGCAGCGCAGTGCTCCGCTTTGAGGTGGAGTTGATCTCCCTGGAGGAGGGGGTTCCCGAAGGATACCTCTTCATTTGGCACGGGGACCCTCCTGAGAACCTCTTTGAGCAGATGGACCTCAACAAGGATGGGCAGATCCCCGCTGAGGAGGTGCCTGCAGCACGGGTTTATGGGGGGGGGGGGACACGGAGAGCACAGGGACCCACCCAGGGAGCAGCGCCCGAAGGACACTGCTGGCCCCGGGCGCTGGGGAAGGGCTGGGGTCGGGCGGGAGGAATGCTGTGACGCAGAAATCACGGCTGGGAACAACGGGGCTGCGATGGGGACATCGTGGATGGCCCCGGGTCTGCCCTCACTGTGCGCGCAGCGCAGCGCTGTGTCCCACCCACCCCATCCTCTGTCCCCGCTGCAGTTCTCCACCTTCATCAAGACCCAGGTGGCGGAGGGGAAGGGACGCCTCATGCCCGGCTCCGACCCCGAGAAAATCATCGCCGACATGTTTGGGAACCAGGACCGCAACCAGGACGGGCGCATCACGGCCGAGGAGCTGAAGCTGAAGTCGGATGAGGACCGGGAGAAGGTCCACGAGGAGCTGTGAGACGCAGCACCGCCGTGCCCACGCCTGGCGCTGCCCCTCGCCGGCCCGGGAGCCGTTTTCTGATGATTTTTTCCCCCCTTTTATTTAACTGCGGTTTTTTTCTGTCGTTCCTCACGGGCGCAGCTCCGCAGTCCGCAGTCAATGCGCGCAGGCAGGAAGGTGGGAAGCGGCTCCGGGTGCCCGCAGTGGGTCGGGTCGGCGCATTCCCCCCCCCTCCGTACTGCACCCATCGATCCCAGCAAACCAGCAGGGCCCGCCCCCCCCGCCCCCCATTGTCCTCCCTGCCCTCCCACCTCTCCGTGTGCCGAGCTCAGCCCCGAGCCCAACCCCAACATCTCTGCTCCTTCGTCCTCAGCCAACGACTGCACGGCCTGCCGGGCCCCACGCAGGGACAGGGGAGCTCCCCGCTCCTCCTTTGCAGTATTACTGTAGTTTAGGGATTTTTTGTTCATCGTGGGTTAGTTTTAAGCACGCGCATGTAAAGTTCTTTAAAAGAGAAACGGAGCGGCCATCCCTGCTGCTGCCTGCTGCAGTTCCCAGGAGCAGAGGCTGGAGGTGGCTCAGAGCTCCTTGGCTGCTGCAGAGCTGCACGGCTGGGACCAGAGGTGGCGCCGGGAGCGGCAGGCCGACCCTCCTCATCCTCCTCACAGCAACGGCTGCTGGGAGGTGCCAGAAATCAGCCCTGGTTGGTTCCGATGCCAAAATGCAAGCCATTAACTCGGTGCTCTCAGGTTTGTGCCCAGCACATCCCCTCCACCTTCCCAGCAGCTCTGGAAGCTTTTGTACAGTGTGACCTCGCAAAGAGAAAAAACGCAGGAGCAGAACTGTGCAAAGGGCCAGAGCAAGCCCCTCAAACAATGACTTCTAAGTGGCACCAAATAAACAATTTCAAGTGGTTTCCAAGACGTTTCCCTTTGTGTCAGTTACTTCGCAATGGAAGATTCATTCCTGTCTGTCCCCATGGCGTGAGGAGAACTTACCTGGATCTGTGGAGCAGAGGTGGACTTCAGACAATGGCATCCACTGCGTTGGGCAGGAGAAAAAGGAAAAGAGCTCCGCTCCCAGGAGCCCTGCAGAGGGGTGGGGGCAGGGATGGGGCAGGGATGGGGAGGACTCTTTGCCTGGGGCACTGTGCTCTCGTGCAATGCACACACACTGCAGCTTTCGTCAATGATTTTATTGCAAAGAAGCAGAGATCTGCACTGCCCAGAAGTGACATTTAGCAGCCCATGGTGTGGAGGGCGGTGAGTGAGCTGCAGGGTGAGGGCTGAGGTCAGAGCCCATGGGAACCCAGCAGAGCTGCCCACCATCCCCAGCACCCACCTCCCGGGGCTGCAGGACCAGCCCACCCTGCTCCCTCCCCACAGCTGGGGCTCAGCCTGCACACCTTGGGGCCACAGAAAACGATAGGAGCAGCAGTGCTCGTTTCCTTAGACAGGAATGCAGTAAAACCAAACAGCTTCAACTCAAACCAGCCTGCCCTCAAGCCACAGCCAACAGACCCTGCTTCTGTGCTCAACTGCTGGACAGAAGCACAGAACATCCCTCCCCAGAACACAAATGTTTGCTGTGGCCCCGGTGCTGCTGGAGGCTGAGGAGGATGCAGAGTGCAGGGCAGGCTCCTCGCTTCCTCCCGATCAGCCCTTCAGCTCCAAACTGACCAGAAGAGCTGTGAGGTTTGGGACACAACAGCTGGGGCAGGGGGAGCCCCGGCATGGGGGTGGATTCAGGCAGGTACCGGGACGCCCGCCCAGCTTTGCTAAGGGCGCTCAGCCCCAGCACGTGGCTGATGGGCCGGGGTTGGGGCGCTGCTGCCCGGCTCACGTCTCCATGAGGACGTACCGCAGAATCCCATTCACCACATCCAACGTCTCGTCGCTCTCCAGCACGATGTCATAGGCATCCAGGTATTTCCCCCGCCGCTCCTCCACCTGCAGCGAGGAGAGGAGCGCAGAGAACTGTGAACAGCTGAGAATGAAGGCGCCGTACCCACAGCCCTGCATCTCTTGATGCTACAGAAAAGAGGGGACAAAACCAGCCGACCATGCCCAAAGGCAGCTCCGAGGGCCTTTATGCAAACCTAGAGCCCAGCAGCAGGCACTCAGCCCTGGGAAGGGCAGGAAGGCAGCAGGAATGCTGCTCCCCACACACCTTGTCGTTGAGGAAGCCAATCTTGAGGATGTTCTCCACACTGGGAACGCCATCTGCCATCGTCAGGTCGCCCATGGAGTCCCCCAGAAGGATGATGCTCGTCCGTGTGCTCAGCTGCTGGAAGTAGGGAGTGCCCTGCAGCACGCTGTTGTTCTTGTTGTAGGTGTGGATTAGAGGGCTCTTGAAGCACTTGAGGACTCCCTGTGCAAATGGGACAGGTGAACTGATCCTAAAGCAATCCCTACATTGTCCTGCAGCATCAGCATCCCTCAGAAGGGGGGAGAGGTGAGGGGCAACACGACAACAGCTCTCATCACTGTTAGCACTGCCCGGGAGCCCCAAAATGCATGCAGGCCGTCCCCAAAGGTCTGCTTTTGTCAGGGCAAACCCAGACCGTAGGGTGAGAACAACCCCAAAGCATCTGGGAGATTTCTGCTCAGGGGCCACGGAAAGCCAAAGTCCAAGGAGCCCCAGGGCACCGCGCAGCCCTTGCAGGAGTCAGGAGTCAAATCCTGAGGACTGTCTGCCCCAGCACCCCCCTGTGGGAACGGAGAGCATCACTGTGCACAGCGTGCCATGTGCTAAAGAGAACTGGGACCTTTTAGGCTTCTGTTAACTCCACCCCGACCACATGCCTGGGCTGGGCATGGACCAGCACCAAACCTCAACAGACAGAACCCACTTCTGGCTTCCAAAAGTCAGTCTGAAGGGTGAGGTGCTCACAGGACAGAGAGCAGACGCTGGGCTGCTGCTGCTTTCTGCCTGCAGGATCCTCCCAGGGCCAACACTGCGCACTCCCCAAACCCCAGCACTGATGTACTGCAATGGTTCTGCAGCCCACAGCACCAACACAACCACCCTCCCCCCTGCGGGCTCCCTGCACACTCACACTGTCATCGAAGTCCATGTAGTTGGACACCACGTTGACGTTGGGGTAGAAGACGTTGGCCTGACGGATAATCTCCTCGAGGATGTCACCAACGCCAGCAGAGAAGATGAACATGGGGACGTTGTGCTTATGCAGCTGATCAAACAACTCATTGAATCCATCCCTAGGACAGAAGTTGTCGTGCAGTGTCACGTTTCCCTCTCCCAGCTCTGGGCAGTGTGGGCTGTGACTGCTCTCAGTGACAAAGCTCAAGTTTCTGCCTTGGACTTCCCAAGCAGAAATAACAGCAGTTACTCAAAGCACAGCACCTGGCTGCAGCTTTCACAGCAGCTTCTGGTGCCATATTTTAGTGCCTGCACCCCTCATCCTGCCAACCACAAAGGCTCAGAGTTGCTCGGGGACCTTCTCCCCACCAGGACCAGGGGTGGGCACGGCTCCAGAGCAGGAGGAGCTCTGCGGTGTTTAAACCCAAACCCCAGGAAGGAAGGGAGATTTGTATCCGCTGCACTGTGAGGCTGTGTGCAGATCAGAGAAGGTGAGCAGAGCTAGCAGACACCAGCTCAGCACCCCCTGCCTGCCTTCAGGCCCCGGAGACATGGGCAGCAATGGGGTGATAGGAGAGGAAGGCCTTGGGTGTACCTCAGCATCACATCCGACTCCCTGACAATCTGGGCAATGTCTCCCTTTTGGATCTTCTGCTGCGACAGCAGCTCGTGGGCCCGGGTCCACCTAGAGAAAGGCAGCGAGGTGAGCATCACATTCCAGGCCATCAGAAGAACAGCAGCCAGGCACTTCCTACAGGAGCTGAAGCCTTCACATTGCCATCCCAGCTGCCAGGAGGAGGCCAGGGGTGCTGATGTGATCTGTGCCTATGTGATCTGTGGTTTTTGCTTTTGGTTTGCAGTGACTCAGAACTATTCCTCAGCTGTGCTCACCAGCCACGGTCCAAAGCACCACACTGAGTGTCTGGGCCACGCACGTGAGAAATGGGAACAGCCTGCCTTAAAAGGGACCCTACAAAGGGTTCTCCACGCTTGGGCCGGGCCCAGGGGTGCTTCCTCCCATTCCCCCTAATGCTCACCAGGGGTCAGGGCGCACCACCACAGCACTCACCACTCCACCATCAGGGGACGTTTCTCTTCCAGGCTGCGGTTGGGATCGATTTCGATGGGGTAGTAGTGATGCAGCAGATCTTTTAACTGGAATGTTATAAGAAAGAAAGAAGAATACGGATTGAACACTGATCCTACAGGTCTGTAAACAGCAAAATCAGTATTTCTGAACTCCCCCAAAGCATCACAGTCCATAACAAAAACACAACCAAAACAACTGAGCGACTTCACTCTGAGCCAACGCGGGGATCCCTACGACTTGGCTGAGGCTCATCTCAGCAAAAATGCTCCCAGCAGATGGGCACACAAACCTCCTTCCTGCTCTTATCAGAGCACAAATTGCCTGCAGCTACACATGCAAATTAGTTTCCTCTTTTTAACTTTCCCACTGGCTGAAATGCAGCCTGGGACCTCGCTCTGCTCTCTGCCCCCGCAGCACCGCAGGGCTTTTGCCCTCTGACCTCGTTGCACAGCCCATGGCGATGGCTGGCAGCAATGCACAGCTTCACAAAGCAGCACCCACCTTCTTCTTGCCATCCTCACTGATGACATGGCTGTTGTCGAGGATATCTGCAAAGACAACAAAATGCCAATGTTACAGCCCATACAGAAAGGCTGTGAGCTTCAGGGTGCTGGATTGAGGCAGACAAGGAGCATCTGAGAGTCTTGGTGGCAAAGCTGGAGCACAGACACCAGGGGTTGCCTCCTGCCACGGGCTCTGGGCTGCTGTGAGGAGAGGGTTGCACCAGAGAACAGACATGGAAAGCAGGAGGAAGGGCCACAAAGCAAAAGCAGGGCTGAAACTCACTGTGTGACGTTGGGCAGCGCCGGCCATTGCACCCAAACCTGCTCAGCGTCATGTCGAAGTCAGAGATGACCTGAAGGGTGAGAGAAAGATGACCTGTGGTGACCCAGCGCTCTGCTGGGCGCAAGCTCCACATGGGTGCATCCCACACAGTCTGCAGGGTTGCAGTGAGCAGCCGGCAGGCAGGCACCCAACGGGGCACAACGCACCCAGCTGGGACCGGGCACCTTCCACCCCCACCCCAGCAGCCTTATCAGCACCACAGGGCCCATCCCTGCCGGCTCATGCTCTGTGCTGAGCGCGATGTTTGGAGACCGGTTAATGTTTACAGCTTGCAGAAGAAGGAAGCAGGCCATGAAAACCGCCTGGCTCTCGGTCGTCCCCCTGCTCCCGCTGCAGAGCACAGCACAGCGGAGCAGAGCACAGCGCACGCGGAGCCGCGCGGGCCGTACCTGCAGTTTGCTGCTGCCCTGCTCCTTGATGGCGCGGATCAGCCCCATGACGCGCTCCGGCTGCTGGATGCGGACCGTGGTTTTCTGCAGTTCCGGCACCTGCGGGCACAGCGCTGTTTCGGACCCCCGCAGCTCCGCCGCGCTCATCTCCCCCTCCCGCAGCGCAGCGCAGCGCCTCGCTCACCATCGTGCCGTGCCGCGCCGGTGCTGCCCAGCCGCGGGGCGGAGCAGCGTGGCTGTTCGGTCTCCGCCCGGCGCAGCGCCTCCTCGTTCCGGGGAGGCCCCGCGGTTGCGTTTCTTTCGCTGCCCGCTCTGGAGGCGGAAAGCGAAAGATTAAATAAAAAAAAAAAGCAGAACGACGTGGCGGGAGCCGATGGCAGCCACTGCCCCAACCCAGCACCGCCACGGCGCTGCTGAACGGAACAAAGCGACCACCGGCAGCGGGGCAGCGCCCACCCGGCACCGCGCCGCGCTCACGGGCACCGCCGCGTGGAGACGCGAGCAGCCCGAGGGCTCCGAAAGGCTCCGAAGGGCTCCGAAAGGCGCCGAAATGCTCCGAAAGCCTCCGAAGGGCGCCGAAAGGTTCCGAAAGCCCCCGAAGGGCGCCGAAAGGCTCTGAACCCGCGCTGCTCGCTCACCGCGCTGCGTGCCGGTGTTCGTTCGTCCGACGGCCCGCTCCCGTGGGAGCCGTGCGAGCGCCGTGCCGGCATAAATGGCAGCCACGAGCGGCACCCGCCTGCAGGCCGTGCGCGGGGCCCTGGCCGAGCCGCAGCGGTGGCCCCGAGCATCACTGGAAGCTCCCCAAACCAAAGCACAGTTCGGGAGAAGTTCGCGGCGGTTTCTTGCAGCGCTGGTGCGCGCAGGGCGGAGATCGCCGGGCAGCCATGAAGAGCCGGGAGCACGCCCAGCGCCACCAGTGTGACCTCACTGGGGGGCCGATTCCAGACCCCCTCGGGGGAGTTCCGGAGAAGATGTAGGAGGACGAGGTGAAAGCGGCCCCCGCGCACTCCTCCCGCCGGCCCGGGCTCCGACATGGACGGCAGCGCGGCGCACAGCGGCTGCTCCGCCTCACTGATGGAGAGGAAGATGAGCGCGATGGCCTGCGAGGTGTTCAATGAGCTCCGCCTGGAGGGGAAGCTCTGCGATGTGATCATCGAAGTGAACGGCTGTCAGTTCAACGCGCACAAGAACATCCTCTGCAGCTGCAGTCATTACTTCAGGTCGGTGCTTGGGATGCTCTATAGTGGGAATAAGGGCAGGCGACATTGCCCGGTCGTCCTGTGGTGCCTCCGGTGCTACAGCCCGAATGTGGTGCAGGGAGGAAGGTGTATGGCATAGCAGGGTGGGGATTTAACACAGAAAAGCCATTTCTTCCTCCAGCATTGCTTTGCCTGTTTTTTTTTTCTTTTGGTCAGGGCTTTGTTTACCAGTGGCTGGAACAACACAGAGAAGATGGTGTACAAAATCCCCGGCGTTTCCCCCGAAATGATGAAACTCGTTATCGAGTATGCCTACACCAGGACAGTATCGATCACTGCTGAGAATGTGGAAAGTTTGCTGGGCACGGCGGATCAGTTCAACATCATGGGCATCATCAGGCTGTGCTGCGAGTTCCTGAAATCACAGCTGTGCTTGGAAAACTGTATCGGCATCTGCCGGCTCACAAACCATTACCACTGCCCCGGCCTGCGGCAGACAGCCTACATGTTCATCCTCCACAACTTCGAGGAGCTGATCAAGGTGTCCACAGAGTTCCTAGACCTCTCCATTGACGAGCTGACAGACATAATTGAAAAGGATGAGCTGAACGTGAAGCAGGAGGAAGTGGTGTTCGACGCCATCCTGAAATGGATCACCCACGATCCCTGGCAAAGGAGGCAGCACATCCCCATCCTGCTCAGCAAGGTCGGTCCGTTGGGCTCCAGGAGCTCTGCACAGCTCTGCCACTGCCCCGTCCTCAACGCCGCCGCCTCGTGGCGCTGCTCACTGCGTGTCCGTGCTGCTGCGAGCTGCTCTCAGGGCTTGCAGTTTAAGTGCATTGTTTCTTTGCACTTAGAGCTTATGTGTAATCACCCCTGGGTGTAAGGAAGAGCCCAGCTCACATGGGGTGAAAAACTACTTAATTCTCCACTTCTCTCATAAGCCTTAGAGAATACTCTAGCCCAAAATCCAAGCCATCCAGTGTCAGACCCGTCCACAAAAGATAACAAAATACAAAGCACCAACAATAACCTTTTACTTTTCAGGTCCGGCTGGCACTGATGGAGACAGACCACTTCATGAACAAAGTCAAAACACACGATTACGTGAAGGACAACAGCGAGTGCAAACCCATCATCATCAGCACTCTGACGGCCATGTACAACCTCAGCACGAGCAACGCGTTTCTCCCCAACTGCGTCAGTCCCCTGGCCCGGCCCCGCCTGCCCTACTCCATCCTGTTTGCTATCGGGGGCTGGAGCGGGGGCAGCCCGACCAACGCCATCGAGACGTACGACACCCGCGCGGACAAGTGGGTGAACGTTACGTGCCACGAGGAGAGCCCCCGGGCTTACCATGGCGCTGCGTTTCTGAAAGGCTTTGTCTACATTATCGGAGGGTTTGACAGCGTGGATTACTTCAACAGCGTCAAGCGGTTCGACCCGGTGAAGAAGACGTGGCAGCAGGTCGCTCCCATGCACTCCCGGCGCTGCTACGTCAGCGTCGCTGTTCTCAACGACTTCATCTACGCCATGGGGGGGTTCGACGGCTACACGCGGCTCAACACAGCCGAGCGCTACGAGCCGGAGACAAACCAGTGGACGCTGATTGCTCCCATGCACGAGCAGAGGAGCGACGCCGGTGCGACCACGCTGTATGACAAGGTAAAAGGCCTGGGAGATCTGCGGCTGCAGTTGAGGTCAAAGCTCGGTGTGCAGGGCAGGGAACGAATCGTAGGGCGTGTTGGGGCAGTTTCATAGAGCTCAGCCTCCCACTGAGCTCCGTCCTGGATAAACACAGCTACCGCCCAGGGCTCCTCATCTAGATGGGAAAGAGGAGCCAGACGCACAGCAAATGCTCCTTTCCATCAATCTTTCCAAATAGAGGAAGAAGGTTTGTGTAAACCTTACTCATCAGATCCTGGAATACAGACAGAAAGCTAAGAGGTGAAACTTAATGGCGCAGACAGCAGAACTCTCTTAAAACCTCTTGCCACCAACAGCAGCTTCCTGCTGGAATACCGTGCTGGTGTGCTTCATGCAGCTCAGGAAATGAAGGGTCAAAATCCCACTTCCGAGTAACTCCCTTCACTTTCAACCCAGGATGACAGCAGTATCCCCTTAAAGAAGAAAACCCCTCCAGCCAGGCCATTTTATCCTCAGCACGTTCTCCCACCAACAGCCAGCCTGCTTCTTTTTCCTCCTGTGCACAGGTGTATATATGTGGTGGGTTCAATGGGAACGAGTGCCTCTCCACAGCTGAAGTGTACGATGCTGGAACAGATCAGTGGACCTTGATATCCCCAATGAGAAGCAGAAGAAGTGGAGTAGGTGTGATTGCATATGGAAGCCAAGTGTACGCGGTAAGGATGAAGTGGCAGCTCGGCCATAATGAACCCACACTGCTGCTGCTGTTTGTTTCTTTAATGCAATTAAGTTCTGTTAATCTGCATTTCCTAGACTAATTTTCGCACTGGCCTTTCACTTCTAAGTGAGATTTAGGGAAGAAAGGCAAGAATGGCTGAAATCCCCTGTAGAATACTGTCACCCTCACATTCTTCATTATGAAATAAGTACAAAACATGTAAAGAGTTGCAGCAAAGAAATGATTCTGCTGCTGATAAAAGTGTTTAGCAGCACAGTGCTGCTTGGTCCTGCTTATCCACATACTGCCTTTAAGTTCAGTGTAAATGTAATGACCAAAATACTTTTGGATGCTCCAGAACGAACAAGGGAGCAGTCTGCCATAAGCAAGCATTGCATTTTGTCAGTTGAGCGGCGCTCCAACTCACATAGCAGAGTAGGCCAAGTTAAAATCCGACACGTGCACAGCACCATTCAGCTGCCTCCCAAGGGGGAAAGGCCTCTTTCAGCGCTGTGCCTTTGGCATTCACAGGTAGGAGGATTCGACGGAGTCAACCGGCTCCGCACTGCGGAAGCCTACAGCCCAGCTGCCAACACGTGGCGCGTTGTCCCCACCATGTTCAATCCTCGCAGCAACTTCGGCATTGAAGTGGTGGACGACCTCTTGTTTGTGGTCGGTGGCTTTAACGGATACGCCACGACGTACAACGTTGAGTGTTACGACGAAAAAGCCGACGAGTGGTTTGACGCTCAGGACATGAGCATCTATCGCAGCGCTCTGAGCTGCTGCGTGGTGCCAGGGCTGTGCAACGTGGGGGATTACGCTGCCAGGAGAGATTAGCGTGGAGCCCTCGCAGCAAGGGGAGGTCGGAGGCACTTCTTCACAGAGCCCTGCCTGCACAAACAGCTCCGGTTAGCCAATAAAGTCTTCTAAGCAGCAAAAGAATGCATTCGCTTAATCTGAAAGAAGACAGGATTGATTCTCACTGAAAAAATAACTAGTAACTGAAACTTTAGTTCCATGGCACACACAAAAAAAGACACAGATGTGATTTAGAGGTGTTGGTTACGCCTTGTTTAGCAACTCAAAACCAGTAACAGGGTGCGATGCACAACAGAATGCTAGAGAAATAAAAGGTTTATTTTTGTTAGCTCACTTCTTACAATAAACTCTAGTACAGTGCATTGTATGTGAGGAACATCACAGCGGGAGTGTTTCCAACAGCCTACACAGACACTACTTTACCTTACTGGAAGTTAAGTACAGGAGTGCTGCTTGCCCAAGCATTCTCTTGAAGTCTACATGAACACTGAATACAGCTGCCGTGATCCACAGTGACACGGACCTATGAGGAGTATCTTACTATTAATGGTCTTCAAACATCGAATTAGCCCCACACTTTACATTCATGTTAGTAATAGGATTGGATCCTCAGAAGCACCTGTTCTATCAGACTTCCACTTAAGACTGTCAGATCAGAGATACCACTTATATTCTCAAATAATTTGGGCACAGCTGAAAATAGATCCAAGCCATCCAACAGTTTGAGCCCAGTGAGTGCTGCAACGTGGGATTAAACGCTGTGATAGAAATAACCTAAGAAGCTGCTACTCTTTGTGACCCACTTTGTTAATCGTGACCAACCTAGGACAATTTTTTATAAAGCATGCTGGAAAATTGGCATGTTTTCTCTATTTCTGGAGTAACCCTACTGTGTGAGGAAATCTTATTAAAATATATATACAAAACTAGCATAGTAACAGAATATCCAAGTCCTTATAAAACATATGTACATCTATGGCACCTACCTAGGAATGACTGCAGGGAGCACGCAGTGCCAGGCAGCACGTGTCCTACCTCACTGACAGCTGGAGCAGACAGATGTGCAACATGCATTGTGTGGCATGTGTCCAATACAGCTATGATTGTCTTAGGGAGGAAAAACACCACCTGATGTTCGTTTGCAAGGACAGAAATCAGCCTTGTAGTGCTTCACACACACTAGAATCTTACTGACATTAACTACCCACTACACACACGGAAGGATTCCCAAGCTGTTGCTTATAGGATTACTTTAAAACAAGCACTCAGCAAGCTACAGCACTCAGGGCCAGAATGCATCTGTTACACGAGTCACAGGTTAGTGAGCGAAATTACAGCCAGATTCAATTCTTCTCAACACCTACAGGTGAGGCAGCAGACAGTGGGACTCGTCAGTTACAAACCGTGTAATGCAGCTGGTCAAGGCTATAAAAATCCAACCACTGAACAATTCCATAGCGTTGGCCTTGCACAGGTTAAAGCAAACCAGTGCTGTCGCAGTGCCATCACTCCCCATGCAAACAGAACACAGAAATACAGTGCATCACATACAGAACCATGGCTGGCATTCACAGGTTACTTAGTTGTTCTGATGCCTTTCAGTGGAATGTCTTTAGGAAACAAGATAGCTTGTATGTCAGATTGAGGTCCTGGTGAGCGCAGGTATCGGTTTCGCTTAGAAAAAGACCGCCAGAAATTTCTTCCTGCTCCCAACTTAGCTGCACGCTGCATCGCGCTGTTTATATTCCAACCGAACCGCAGTTTCAGTACTTACTCCCATAAATTGTCCCAGATTTGTTGTCAGAGTGCCTAAGGGCTCCAATGGAGCTGCGGTGGGCTGACAAGGTCGTGTCCTTTACTCATCGTCTCCCTGCAGTAAAGTCAGCAGGGAGGGAACACATAAACTGTTCTCACTGCTTCTGTGCAAAGTGCCTTAAATTCAGCTCCCGCTGCAATTAAACCGTAATTCCAGCATTGAAGCTGTGAGGCATTTGCACACAGTCTGCTCACAAACCCTCCTATGGGGGCAGTAATACTTAACCTACTCCAGCCAAACCAGCCAGAGCTCATGGGCCAAACTCCATGGATGCAGCCCTTCCTCAAGGGCCTGCAGGAGCTGATTTGGCAATGGTCGTTACTGAACATCAGCCTTAAAGCTCAATAAGTTTAACCATTTCCTCTCTTGCACTAAACCAGCACTGTACAATTTAATCTGCCACTGCACAGCAATGTAGCAGGCAAATCAAATACAGGATGGTTTCTACTGAGAAGTAATTTGAAACGAACTGTTAAGGTTTTCGAGATAATTTTTACGAGGCTGGGTTTTTCTCCCGTTACAAAAGGACTGTTGATGTCAGAGTGGCAGGTGAACTAAGAGGAGCATCAAGGATATTACAGACCACAGAAACCTTTACACGTTATGCGACTGAAAGACTTACCCTTACCCAGGGTCTCAGATATGATCTAGGTTGCCTGCTGAATTGGAAAATGAGAAGGATCAGTTCAGAAAGCTAAACAACAAAAAACAGAAGCACAACAAAACAAAAAAATGTTCAGAAAACCTTTTTCGAAGGAGTTGCCTGCGTCAAAAGCACCAGAGAATTATCACAGGAACCAGAGACTGCACACAGCTCCTCCACCAACATTTGTCAACTCAAACTTTGCAGCGCCCTGCTGGCACCTCCCTTCCCTTCCCTTCCCTAATATCCTGAGTTGGGTCACACGTGAAAACCTGGAACACTGAAACAAAGGGAAGGACGAGGAAGAAAAGGAGGCAGGAGGGACGCACTGAACCACTAGTAACAGCTGTCCTGGAGCTCCTCAGATCAGGGAGGTGCTCGGCAGGACAGACGAATCTCCAAAGGAACGATTTGACCTTCTGTTTCCCGGGGTTGAAGCACTTACAAACCAGAGCCAAGCGGGGCACTGACTGATGGAAAACCACAGCACAGCACCTGTAATCAACGGAAATGTTAGTCTCTAAAAATATTTAGAGACTGTACAATCTCCAGCTGCATCTCGGAGTCTGCATGCCATCCTCAGCAGTGCCCCTCTGAGAACACCGAGCACTGGTTTGTTGAGCACTGCAGCACAGCTACTGAGAGTCCCGTGGGAAAGACACTGAAGGCCAGAGGTGCTGATTGTCAAAGACAGGCTGCAAACAGGTGTGTGGGGGTTCTTCCAAACACTCCTTCACTACAATTAAATGCGTTCAGCATTTGAGAAAGCATTGACAAGTAGCTCAAGTTTCAATCCGCTCCTGTGGGATAGTGGCATTCTTACTAATCCACACAGACAGAAGGGACTGACTTTGGTCCATGACTGCTCTGCTGGCTCTCTCCTTTGAAGCTCCTAAGGAAACTCAAAGCCTCTCCAGATACGCCTGAAAAAGATCACTGCCTCAAGTTCTCTTCTAGCAAGTGTCTGACGTTCTGCTCATCAACCATTCACAAATGAACACACAGCCTCTCTACAACGTACGGACACACAATATTCATTAGACATAGAAACATCCTGAAGTAACTCCACAAAGAGAGATTGTGCTTTCATTTCCACATGTAGTTATTAACTATTGCACTCGCCTCCAACTTGAGAAAGCCAAGTACACTAACATCGATTACACGGGTAGTTTAGTCACTGAGGAGAATCAAAGGAATGTCAACATACTAAGTGCAAATAAAGCAGGTGCTTTCAGCACACACGAATGTAACCACTAAATTATTAGAGAGAGATCTTTGATTTTCAAAATAGAACTGTAGGAGACCAACTCCACAGAAATCCTTGAAAACAAAGATCTGTGTCACAGTCTGGTACAGGAAAGCAGCTTTTTCCTGGGCACTGTTAAGTAGTATTGTTGGATTCAGTTTCTCAATTCCCATTCATCTTCGATTTCTGACCTTTGTAACTTTCAGTATATAAAACATGCCACTTTTAGATGTCAAACCTACTCAACGCCCTGATGTCTTCTAAAGACATAAAATGCCTCGCAAAATGGTTTAGCACAGTATTTCCTGAACTACCTTCACAAGAGTTGGCAACCCAGAAGTCAGCACTCAATCTGCGAGCGTGGCATTCTTCGCAAGCTCAGGGAATGTCGGTGTATTTCCTGCATCTGCCTTTCCTGCATCTGTCTTATTCTGTCTTTCTGCCACATGAGGTTCTGCGGCATCGGGTATCTCTGCGTGCCCTGCAGGCACCTGAAGGGGATTCTGACGTGGCAGGCTGTTGCCCTACAGCGAGGCTGAGGCATGGGAGGCAGAAGCATCCAGCGCTTCCTCTCAGCGCAGTAGCGATAGGCCTCCTTCCTGTACTGCTTGTCAATATCATCACTGTTCTTCCACCCCCCAATGATGAAAACATCGTCTTTATAATAACAAATAGCTGCCCCTTCAATGCTAAGGACCTCCGGGGGTAAACTTTCAAGTATCTCATCTGAGGCCCTGCCAGAGATCTTTACCTTGGCTTCCTCGTTATCTATAGGGTAACTCTTGGGGCAGCAGGATGCTGTATGGTAAAAGTTTGTGTTTGCAACTGACATCTGAAAAGAGCAGTAATTATCAATGAGCGGCAGAGACTCTACGTCCTGCCACTGCCTTGTTTCAGCATCGTATCTGATAATAACTGCCCTCAATCCATCTTCACTATCACTGTCAACCGGGGTACGAGCAGCAACATAAACAAACCGGTCTTCTACAGAAACAGCTTTGACATCACGAAGGATCTTTGGTGCTGACTCCAGGTTATGCCATTTGTCTTGCTCGGGATTATAAACAGCTACATCTTTAAAGCCAGGACTGAAATTGCCATGTCCACCGATACTGTACAAGTTTCCTTTAACTTCAGTAAGGCCAAATGAGTGCTTTCTAGTTATTAAATTTGAGACTTGCTCCCAGATATTTCTGTTTGGATTATACCTTTCTACAGTCTTGGCAAATCCCGGTTCCATGGAGCCAGCCACATAAACATAAGACTCTGTCACAGCAACAGCATGCCCATCGAGATGGTTATGGATGTGCGGCAAGTTTACCCACCTATCTTCATCGATGAAATACCCCACGCACTCACTCAGGTAATCTCCTCCCTCCGACACACCACCGATCACCATAATGACGTCCATGTTTTGTCCGAAACGCGGCAGCAACGCAGCAGGACAGGCGGAATGCTGCAGGTTACCAGACTGCAAGTTCTCAGATCTCAGGGCGTGACTCTCCACGGCGTCTGACACCAGCCTGACACAGGCCTCATTGCTGGACACCAGCCTCTCGGATTTGACGTGGCGCGTGAGGTACGTGGGCTTCATCTGAGACAGCCTCAGCAGCTTGAAGAGTTCCTCGAAGTACCTCTCCCTTTCCTCGGGATTCCTCTGAACCCACTTCAAGACGGTCTCGAAGAGGACTTCTTCCGAGTCCACCGTGATCTCCGAGTCGGACAGCCAGTCCCTGATGAGGTGGAAGGGCAGCGTGTAGAACTCCTCGTCCTGGATGACTCTGTGGAAGTTCCTGCGGATCATGTCCTGCGCCCGCAGCGCCAGCTGGCTCAGCGAGTACATGTGCGCCAGGCTGTGCACCGCCACGCAGTTGGAGAGGTTCAGCTTCTTCTTGAGGAACTCCCCGCAGAACTCCTTCAGCCGGGTCAGCAGGAACCTGCGGGACGAACGGCACACGCGGCGCGAAGGCCGTCAGGCGGCGCCCGCCCGCCCGGCCCGCCCGGCCCGCCCCGCTCACCTGTCGGCCATCTCCAGCACCTCGTGCACGTTGCCGGGGCCGACGCGGATGGCGCCGGTGTACATGAAGCCGATGACGGCCTCCACCGTGTCGGGGTCGGGGCCGCCCTCCGAGCTCCACTTCTGCAGCTCCACGCGGCCCGAACGCGACTCGGCGAAGCCGCCCGAGAGCAGCGGCGCGAAGTACTCGGTGGCGGCCGCCAGCACGGAGCGGTGCGCGCGGAACTCGTGGAACTCGCGGGCCGCGCCGGGCCGCCCGCCGCCGAACGCCAGGGTGATGTCGCAGTACAGGCCGTGCCGGCGCTGCTCGTTCTGCCGCCAGGCCAGGTCGGAGCAGTGCGCCGGGCACCCGAACTCCTCCGCCTCCGCCTCCCCGTCGGCCCCGCCGCCCCGCGGGCCGCCGCCCTCCTCCTCCGCCGCCGGCGGGCCGGGCCCGGGCTGCGGCTGAGGGGAGGCCGCGGCCGCCGCCATCTTGTCCGACATGGCGGGCCGCCGCCGCGCGCCTGCGCGGCTCTGCGCCGCCCCCTAGCGGCCGGCGGCACTCGGGAGCGCGGAACGCGGGCGGGGCGACGGCGCAGCCCGGGCGGAGCGGCGGCTCTGGGGCCGAGGGAAACTCGGGGGGCTCTGCCTCAACCCCGCGCCCGAGGGAGGCGGCCCCGCCCCGCAGCAGTGGAACGCGGCGCCGCGCGGCAGACGGCGGGATGCCGGCTGAGCACCGCGCCCTGCGCTCCCCCCCGCCGCACCGCCTCTCTCCCCGTTTTCTCTCCGTGACGTTTCCGGCAAGCAGGAGAGGGGTGGCTGCTTTCACGCCGCAGTCGCCGCTCAGGAAGCGCCGCCCAGCCGAGCAGTAGCGTCATTTATTTGAGCTCGTTACAATACAGCGAGGAGGCTGAAGTCACTACTGAGATCGGGTGAGGCGGGAGCCTGGCGGCCCGCAGCAGCTGAGCAGTAAATGAGGAGTTACATAAATACAGGCACTGGAATAGGTGTAGTTTCACAGTTTAACAGCAGTATATGGTACAACTTTACATCTTAAATTACTACACTGCAGTTTGAGTAACAGAGGTTATAGAGCAGCAGTGGTCCCACTATTCAGAGTACAATTAGACTGATGAACACACAGTAAACAAACTGAGAAACAGCCCTCAAAGCCCGCACTGAACAATCCACAACCCTCAAATCAGCACTTATGGGAACTTCCCCCGCTATCAGGAAAACCTCAGGACAACTCTGAGCCACCAGAACCATGAAAACCTTTCCTGGAAACAACAATAAAACTAGAATAGAAAAAAAAAAAAAATAAAGGGTGAGAAACAGTATTAAATACAGCAGGTAACATGGAACAGCACACGTTTTGGCTTTCGCTTAAGTTTCTATTCCCACAGAACAGTTGCTTTGCACAGTTTAACTAGGCAGCTCCTTGTCTGTACCAATGGCCTTCGTACATCAAAGTCCCATTCCTGGCTGTCCTCGGTGCAGGTTCCCCCCTCTGCTGAGCAGCACTGAGGATCACATGGTCATGTGCTCCGGCAAAACGTAGGAGATGTCGTCCCACGGGTGACGGTACAGACCTTGCTTCAATCTCTTCTGGTCCAGGTAGTGTCCTAAAAGGAAAGTCTTTGTTACAGCGCTTCTGAGCCTCCTCCTCATCACACTCGGCCTTGGAAGGATTTTGATTTCTGGACTCCTACGACCGGTATTTCACAACTGACAGCCCACACCTCCACCTCTGCGTCCCGTTCATGGCAGCAGGGCACGTCCCTGCAGAAACCACAGCAAACTTACCGATGAATCCCATGCTCCTGCCTAGTACAAAGATGCCATTAAGAGCTCCTATATCAATATATTCATCAGCTTCTTCCCTGGAAGAAAAACAAAGCAACTACTCAGTGTTTGGAAACCCCGGCCCCACACAAGCTGGCAGTATGGCTCCTATTGTTAAGTACAGGAGCACAACCCAAGGGAGAAATACTTACCGTGTAAAAGAGCCACAATGCCTGAGCACATCAACAAAGGCAACTCCAATAAAGCCATCTACATTCAGGATAAGATTTGGTTTCTGAAGGAAATACACAGACAAAGATGTCAGCAATGGGCAGTGATGTTCACCTGTAATTTCCACGCTCGGGGTAATCTGCAGGCTGCCATAGCTGTGGACATGCACACCAAGTGATACAGAAGGCTGACTGTGAGCAACAGCTGTACTTGATGCACATAACGGCCAAGCAGCCCCAGCCAGGTGTGTTTCACTTCATCCACAGAGATTCTCACCCCTCTGCCAGCACCTGTGTGCTACCCACAAGGATCTGCACTTCCAGACCACGCCAGGTAACTCTGATAACAGGTTTTGTTCTGCTCAGTGTTTTCTTGCTGTCCAAATGTCTTCAGCCTTATTAAACTGTAGCTGCACTTCAATAATTTGTTAAGCTCTGCCATTAAAATACAGCATTAACTCCTCCCCCAGTAAGAAAAAGTGCCTGTGAGCAGATAAATTCCAGCACATTTCACCTTGGAAGTTGTAATTTTTTCTACTTCGAGCGCATAATCCAACAGCGGAGTGGCAGGGAAATGCTGCTTCACGTAGTCTTTGAGAATCTGAACTCTCATGTCTGGGTTGTTTATCTACAAGTCAAAAACAAAGTTAGCAATGCATCTAACAGGTGTTTCATGTAAGATCTGCTATTTGTAGCTTCAGAGCTTACAAGTCCTGAGAATTCTGCCTAACGCTGCCTCTGAGAGTTGCTGGTTTCCTTGCCTTCATTTCCTCCCCATTTTTATAAAGAAAACCAGAGCATGCACAATAAAAACACCTCCAATATGTACTAATAGTGCAGTTTGCTTACAGATTTGACTCTGTGTCCAATGCCCATGATCAGTTTCCCTTCTTTCTTCATCTTATTCACAAACTCCATAGGGATAATCCCACTGTCAAAGGCCTTGCTGAACACTTTAGCTGCAGCATCCAGCGCTCCACCAAACCGGTCACCCTGGGTTCAATACACAAAGAGAATTACAGCAAGAACTGCACAAGCAAAGGTCCAAAACAAGCACAGGATCATCTTCCCCCTCCTCCACATCTGCCAGTGTGGCAATTATGAAATTAAAGTTGGGCGGGCGCCTGGGACGAAGTGTTTCATAACTCAATGAAGCGTCAGCGCACAGCACAGCACCCCCACTGCAGGTGGCAGAGGGGAGATCCAATCTGAATCATGACTTGTCAGTTCTAGAGACATCAGGCAGCCGTGAAGGAACAATTCTGACAGCAATTTGGCTCCTACAGTCTCACACATGAGACAAGATAGTCGTGTTCATGGAAACATGGACTAGATTTCAAACCTAGAACAGAAACTGAACAGTAGGCTTCTTCCAGTAGATTTTCACTTTCATCAGCTGTAAGCGTGGAATTTAGCAGAAATTCAGACTATGGATGTGCAGACAGGAGCTAGTGCTTAGCTTGCAGCTGTGCCAAATCCTAGCTTACTGTAATAAATCTAGGACTGAGTAGCATGTAACAAAATTGAATCTTCAGTGCTTACAATAGTAAGAAGGCCTGAAGTGAGACTTGACACAAGATCTTTTCCAGCTCTTGCACAGACAATGGTGTTGTGGGCTCCAGACACAGCAGGCCCGTGATCTGCTGTTACCATCAAACACATCTCAATGAACTGGCAGGCATACTTTGGTAACCTGAGCAAGAGAGAGACTGAAGTCATTTACTGCAGAGATCAGAGTAACAAAACGCCCAGTGTTGCTCTGGACAGTAATTCTACTCTAAGATAGAGGAGCAGTGGGATCACAGCAGCCATCAGTGCATCCCGGCACCTGTCTTCTCAGAGATGAGTGGAATTTATTCCCTTTCCACTGGAAATATTTAGACTATAAGACTACAAACTACAAGGCTTCAAGCTAAAGGGTCTGGGCTTCCACAAAAGCTGCCTCACCTCCTTTGAAACCAGAGCAGGCCCAGAACGCCTCCAATTCCCATCTCTTCTTTGAAGACTTCAGTGATTGGCATGCCAGCATAGATCAGTTCCTGCCCTCTCTCATCACAGATGCTTGTCATGAAGGAAGCCGGCTTGCGGATCAGACCCAGCTCCTAGAATCACAGCACAGAGATGATCCTAAACAATCCTCTTCAGAAACAAGGGGCAGCAAGACTTAAACTTGCCTTCAGGGCAGGTTCCACAGCCTACAACCAGCGCAGCCAGCAAGCGCACAGACAACACGACAAAGCCTGAGCCAACACCACTGTAATGCTGGACACTGAAAGGACACCACACATCTTGTCTGGTGCCTATGGAACCAAGAATCAAGTGAAGTAGCATAGCTCACCCGAGCCCAGGAGTAATCCATTGGCACAGTTGGAGGAGGAACTTCCTCAGCTGGCTCAATCACTCTTTTTGCCACAAGATCCTGATAGACAGACCTGGGGGAGAATCCTTTTGTTAATTTAAGTCCTTTTGAATGACAGAAGAGATGCAGCCTTAGTCCAGACCTCGAGAGCCCAGACTAAGCAGGGGTACCAGAGCAGGAGAATATTTCTCAACCATTTAAAGTCAAGCACCCTAGGAGTTTTCATCTCCTGCTCGAGCAACTTACTGAATGACCTCTCCCAGCTCATCAAAACTCCGGGGAACAAACACACCAGCTTCTTTCAGGGCTTGATTCTTTGCAACAGCAGTTTCAGAAGCTTGGTTTGCACAAGCCCCTGCGTGGCCAAACTGCACCTACAAACAACAGAAGAGACATCAGTAAGGAATGCAAGTTGTACTGGCTTACAGGTAAACATAACTGAACAGGAAAGTGGTCGCAGGAATAGCAGTGACTGCACAATCTGCCTTCTTGTTTGGCCTAACAGAACTCTTGGCTGCAACTGGCTGCTCTAGGATGCTTGGGCTGCATCTACGAACACACTGAATTCTTTGGAGCCCTCCAGTGGCAAATTAAATAAGCACAAAAAGCTTTTATTATTGATACTTCTGCATGCTTCTCTGCTATGGCTTAGGTGGGAGGAGCTGGCTTTCCTCCCCTCCTGTCACAAATAAATATACCCCACTTCTGCACGTACCTCTGAAGAAAACATGGTGGCACAAGTACCAATACACCAGCACACCACTGGCTTGGTGATGCGGCCTTCTTTAATACCCCTACAGATCTTGTACTCTTCTGTGCCTCCAATCTGTAGGGAGAAAGAGAGTTGAGCTCTTTCAAAAGCTTTGCTTTTTTTTCGTTGTTTGAAACCAGCTCTGAGATGCACATGGAAACTCTTGGTCCCGCTGCACTGAATAATGGCTTCAGTCTCAGAATGAAGTCTGTTTTTAAAGTGAGACTGTGTTGAATACATTCAATTTCTTCTGATTAAAGAAGCAGGAAATAAAACTTCAGATTTCTAATAACAGTACGAACAGCTGCCACTTAGTTGTAGCTGCTACTTACTATTTATTCTTGCTGCTAGGTCAAACTCAACTGCTCTGGAAGCATCC